TCAGAAAAGGTTTTGAAAATACTGAAAACTTCTTAGAGAAAAATCGTATTTTGAGAGCTCAAGGAGATCTGGTATAAATATTTTTAAAAATATTGAGAATTTTATGAAAAATATCTTATTTTAGTCTAATTTATTAGTTTAAATTTATTTCAATTTGAAGTATAACAAAATGAATTAATTTTACTTTAAAGTCAGTTACTGAGAGACAGAGGCCGGTCTGAGAGTGGAAGAAGTTGGGTCATAAAATGTTAAAACAATGTTGACTTTTTGAAATCAAGCACACCATAAGTACCAGCACCGGACGAGAACACAGTTTAAATGAATATGAGAAATTTGGCTAATTGAAAGCTTGTGGATATAAGAAACAAAATACGTAAATAAGGAAAATAAATAAATGAATTAAATCAATTTCCTTATGTTAAATGTGTAAAACTCGAAACCAAATTTAGGCAAATACAGAATAAAAACTTCAATTCTTTAAATACAGTTCCCTGCAAAAATTATTAGACGCACTGTAAGAATCTTAATTATCAGGTGATACTCTATACAGCTTCATTGCCTTTACGTGACTGAAACCGGTTTGCACTTGTTTACATTCGTATATGAACTGGTTAAATGAGACGATATATAATATAAATTTGACTATTGGATAAATGAGACGATACGTTACGTAAATATAGAATATTTATTATAACAGGTACTATATTATTACTATATAATAATTAGACCAAATTAATAGGCCCACTGCAGTGTTTCAATAATGACATGTTTTGCGCTAGTTTATAAGCAATACTTCTATATTTAAACATACATGTCATGGGTTTTGACTCGGGAGATTTTTTATATACCTCCTATTTGTATTTATTTTTAAAGTATTTCATTATAATGTTAACCAATTGATATACTAACGTAAACAAGTGCAAACCGGTTTCAGTCACATAAAACACAATAAAGCTGTATAGTATCACCTGATAATTAAGATTTTACGTCGAATCTAATAGTGCGTCAAATAATTTGGCTGTAAGCAAGCTTAGTTGACAAAAGGTCTTTTATTTATAAGTTATCTCTATACTGTATAAGTCTATACTATATGCAGGGGTCTGTCCAGACATTTCGCGAAAGGTAGTGTTTTTGTAAAATTGTGAAAAAACTACTCATAATTTGTGACTATTAAATGAGGGTTAAGTCACATTCTTTTAACCAGAGTCCTGCTTTTGTGAATGTGTGCAAACAGGGTCCTGTTTTTGCAAAAAACCTCTAAAAACCTTTTCAAGAAGTTTTTAAATTGTAAACAGATACGAGATTCTGCTCAACAATTGCTGCTACTAAATTAGGAATGCAACATACAAATATTTGGTATTTAGCCTATAGCGCTCAACACAGAATATTCATTTCGGTCGAATAATGGAAACAAAATCCCTCACATTTTTAATAATTTCAATTGACATATTTTAAATAACACAACTTAGAAATGTATCACTTTTAATGTGTCATGCATTAAGTAAACTTAAACAATTCTTACAATTATGATATTTTATTTAAAAAATTGCCAGAAATTTTTATTTACTTAATTTCTATTCATTAATTTTATGAATAAATATAAAGTGATTAATTATTTATTTACAAAAAAAAATTATCATTTAATAGCAATAAGAAGGAAGACACGATGTTTGTAAATATAGAAATATTTAGAATACTACATTTGGAATTTAAACTTAGGGAAACTTGGAAAACTTGGTTCGTTTCAAACCGTCTTTCTTTTTTCTCCCCCAGGAGGGGTTTATTCGATAGACAAAACAATAATGAAGATACACAAATTTGTGAAGGGTCCAATAAAAAGATAAATTACTTTGTGAAGGGTTCGTTTTTATAGAAAGATATTTTGTGAACCGAATTTCTTCTAAACAGACCCCTGATAGGTCTATACTATGTTAAGTCTGTATAAGTTATCTCATCAGATGATGTCACAGTCTATAAAAAATCGTAAATATATATTTTTTTCTTTTTTTTAACAAAGTTTTCCCATGCCTCCATTTCAGGTAAATAAGTTTGAACACAAAGTGAGCTAGAAGTTTCATATTCTTTTCTTCTATTTGGGTTTTAGAGTAGATTTTCTTATAACACAATATATACTTTTGCTATAGTATATCGCAAAATAAAAATATCACTCTAAATAGCTTTTGTGTAAATGATCGGATTTTCACGCCAATTAGGGTGACCTCAAATATGCCGACTCTAAATTAAGTCACGCGATCAGACACAAAAAGGTATTTCTTCTGTATGAACAAACCTTTTTCTTTTCCAACGAAATTTTGACTATCGAAGCATTACTCTGTAAAATAGGATCCCAATATTTTAGAAGAGCGGTTGAAATATTTAATGTTCGTTAATTTTCATTTCACTGATATTCTATTTTAATGATATAAACCTTTTATTTCAATTTGTTCTAAATGAAAATTTCGGAAACTTTTTTTTTACTTCAATTATTTCAACTAGTTTTCTAATTATATATGTTAATTTAAGGAGGCTTTCTGACGACAAAGTTTTTCAATCTACACAATTCATGGGGTTAATTCATATATGTACGGAAAAGCATTTATCGAGGAATTAAAAAAATAAGTAAATTTTTTTTCGTAACTATGGAATAAAATTTGGAAATATGACAAAAAAATTGTATTTTTATTATATATCTAGTGCATTACTGTTAATATTAATAAAAGGTTTTGAACTACAATATTAGCCAAAAATTATAGTCAATAATGTAAATTATAACAACAAATATACAAAAAAATTAACTCCTAGTTCTATCTCTGATCTATATAAACGCAAATAAGGAGATAATAAAAGAGAAAGTTATCATGTTTTCGCGAAAGTAGTGGAAAATACATGCAAACTTTTTACAACTCTTATATAAGCGTTATAAGCAGTTGTCTATAACCCAAAAATTCTTTAAAAAGAAGTGCGAAAAACAATCAAAAATGACCCTAAAATAAAAGATTTGATCCTTAAAAATCTTCGAAACTGTGTCTTTTTTATATAAAAAATTATAAATTCATAATTTATTTCAATAAATATAGTAATAAATTTATACTTATTTAAATGAATAAGTAATTTATAATTGAAATAAAATATAAATATATACCTGATAAATAGAAGCTATCAATTATAAAATATTAAACAGAAATTTATTAGTTACAATCTTCAAAAACATTGTGTTTTTTTCAACAAAGTTGTGCTGCATTATCAAATGTGTTTTTTTAGTCTTTAAATTGAAAGATTGTTTATAGTCTTAAAGTAAATTTTTTGTACAAAAATTGCTTTAGGAAATTGCCTTGAAAAATTTTATTATTAATCAATACTCGTTATTCGAGGGTATTTAAAATTAAATTTATGTATAAAATAATTAATTCATAAGCAAATTACGCTGGAAAAAAAATGCGATTCAAAAATCGTAAAATTCAAAAAATTATTAAGAAATGAAATTTTTTTTTAAAAATGACTTAAAATAGCTGAAAAGAATAATACCCAATGAAGAGATAAAACAGCCAAATATGCAACCAAAAAAAAATCATTTGTCATCAACTACTTAATCCTGATAATAAAATGCATGCAGAAATAGACTTGTTCGATTTAAAGAAAAGGAAAGGGAGGGGTTTGGGATAATGAAATGAAAAGCTATATTTTGTCTTAAAATTGACATTTTTAAAATAAACTCTTTAGTACTGTTTCGAAATTAGTACTTTACGAGGTTACACAGAGATATTTGATTGCCTAGATAAAAATGTGATGTTATTTGAACAATTCGAAACTGAAGTTTATTTTGATCTATACAGAAGTACATAATGTATCTAGTCATTATAAAATATAAATATCGATGCACAAAGCTGAATACTGATTTTTAAAATGTCTGTGAAGTTTGGCGAATATGAACTAGATAGTGGGTGTTAAATTAGGTTTTATTCGGGTCAAAAGTTGATAATAAAAAATAAAAAAAGGATCCTCTATTACTTATAATTCAATATTCAAAACTGTTTTTCCTCGACAGAATAAATTATGAATTTAAATATTACATTGAAAAACGATCTCTTTAAAATCGTAAGAAAAAAAATATTTACCGCTGTTGATGTTCTGGTTCTACACTTGTAACTAAAGAACGTACCTAATTCATTTAAATTTGGCTGTAAAATGATCTCCAATTTCACTTCTTGCGAATGTAGTTATTTCAGGAAAGAATTACGAGTAAATTGTTTAATAATAAAAGTAAAATAGAATGGATCCTATTATTCCGGTTACAGAAAAGTGAGCATTCAGTTGATTATTGAAAATGGCACGTTTCCTCAACGACTGAAGAAATATTCTTTTATGAAAAAAAAATCAAGTAAATATTTTAAGCCTAAAAAACAATTTATCTCAACATGAATGCGCTGTAGGTAAACTAATCTTCAAGTATCATCAAAGTGTAAATATTTGGTTCACAATTTCGATAGTTTGTTTCATTATTTATGTCATTGAGCATCACATTATAGGATGCAACTAATGCATCGCTGTTTAATAATAAACTTTTCATCAGTGACGTGCAAAATGTGAATAATTTTTCTAATTTATCTATGCAGAGTGTGTGGTAGTTTCTTCTTTTTTCGTTTCGAATGTTTAACTACCATTCGACTGATTTAAAAATAGTAAAAATTTGCAGAAAATGTTTGCTTAATACTCATGAAATCTTGGAAAAAGAATGGCATGCCAGAGCACTCGTTTAACTTCTTGCTTCCAATTAAGACTCTCATTGTTTAATGTCTAACTAAAACGTTGATATAGACGTTCCTCACCAATTAACTACATATTTCTGAAGAGTGAAAAAAATATTTCGTATATATCTTAAACTGACATAATGACCTTTTTATGGCTATGTTTTAGGATGGTGTTTTGGGTACGAAGTTATGTTTGATTAAACTACTAATGAAATTGTGTGATGGTTTGTCACATAATGTAAGACAACTTACCTTGAGACGACGTTGAGTGGTGTATCGCGCCATGTGACAGTTCAATTTGTTTATTTACACTTGTAAATAGAAGAGAACAAAACGTTGACGCGAACAAAAACGAAACCGAGAATAGGAATAAACAACGGCAGCGGAGGCAACAGAAAGAAAAAAAATACCACGTGCTTTTTTTTCCCCTCTTTTTTTTATTTTTGTTCTTCCCAGAGAAAATGCAGAGAGGTAAACGGAGAGGATTAACTTCTACCTCCGCTCTAGACAACACACGCGCGCACCGATCTCCCCGAAAAAATAGAGAAGAGAACGTTCTCAACTCCCGTCCTTCTTACGCGATCCCTCAGTCGCGTCTGAAGCAAGGGCTGTGTTCTGTGTGTGCGTGCCTTGAGGCTCTCTTCCATTCTATCTCTCTCTTCACTCTTTCGTTCACTCCTACGCGTAATGACTTTTATTGATCCTCCTCTAGCATTGGCTGCCACCAGAAGGATGAGGGGGAGAGTGGGTTTGACACAGAAAAGGGGGGGGAGGAGAAAGAAAGCAAGGGGGGTAGCGCGCCTAGAGACCTGAAGCACTAGCGCCACCACTACCTCCGCTTCTCCACTATCTAGGGCACAAAGAGTTGGCCTGTTTTGTTTACCTCTGCCTACACCGCCGGCCCTATCAGCTGCTTGTGCCCTTCTCTTACCCCCTCCCCCCCCACTCTCCTCCTTTTCAGAATGCACGTGTTTTCTTCTTTCGGATTTTCTCTCTTCTCTCATTCCTTCTATAGGAAAGAGGAAAGGAAAAGAGAGGAGACTTTAATTGATATCCAGCGTGGAACGGCAATCAATTCGACTCTGGGGTAAGGGAGAGAGGAAAAGATTAAAAAGGCTTTAATTCGTCTCCCTTTATTGATCTACCCTATATATCTATAGGCACGTATTCTCAACATTCAACAATAAAATAGGGTATATGACTAGAACTTATTTGACTTTATGTATTAAAGTTTTTTTTTAACTCGATTTTCCTGATAGTATAACAAAAAACAGTCATATCTTCATCACTGAAACTCATTTTACGTAACGTTACTAACACTAAACATAACAACACTTAATCTATTTCTACCATAGCCGGTCAAATGACCGGACATTATGTTTCTTCATTGAATGTATGAAATATGGATGTTAGGAAGAAAATAAATTAACATAATTAAACGAAATTGTATATTGCCTATTGTTATGTATTACAAACACAAAGAATAAGAATTTTTAATTCATTGTTCAAAGCATTATTTATATATACAGGGTGTTTCCATGGTTCATTTTCCGCAAACATATTTCTTCCAATGATTATTATTTCTACAATTCTTATAATTATAAGAATATATAATTCTTATTATTCTTGTAATTAATATTATTTCTTCAAAGAGCTTGTGCTGTCCCGATTGTTTCGACATTTTTCTGGGTAAAAACTAACAGTTAGTTAGAAATGAAGTAAAGTTATCAAAATAAAATATAAGTTTCTTGCCAAAACATTCAGTTTTTGTCACTTTTTCTAACACAAAAATGCCAATCTAAAAGGTGCTTTCTTAAAATTTGAATTCACACTTAATCTGACTGAACTCATTAAGCAACAAGTCTTTGCAGAAATGTGCAACTCATCGAATGGAATTCGTTGAACACGCATAACATCGTCATTTCTGATCCGATCACCTTATAAAGCAATAAACTGTTCTCTCGGTCAAATGACCGGTTGTGGTAGAAATAGGTATACGACGAGTATTATTCGAAAAAAACTAAATACAAAAAAAAAATCATGCAATAATCGAACATTAACTGCATGTAATTGTTAGTAAAAGTCAAATATGCAAAAACGAGCGAATTTTCGATGCAAAAGCTCTTAAACGGTCATTTGACCGGTTATGGTATGTTTAGTGTTAATAAAAAGAACAGACATTTTTATAACTCAATTCACGTAACATAATAACAAGATCTTAGTTACCTCTTTTAAAATAGTGATTTATAAATACCCAAAACTCATTTTATAAATTAAACATTCAAAATGTGTATCAATATTCGACCATTTATTACTTAAATGACCGCAATTATTAAAATCTTTAGTTTTATTCTAAAAATATTCATTTTACATATATTCATTATTAAATAGATAGGGAAAATCGGTTTTTATATAAAACATGCTTAAAAAATCATTTTACTTTAAATAAACGTGGTTTATGCTCATTATATAAGAACAATATCCTGCTATTTTAGCCCATTATAATTAAAAACGTTAAAAAGGAAAATGTGTGCCATACTTAATTCATACACTGAATTACTTAAAATATTTTACGAAAGAAAAAAAAATCTCTTAAAACAACAAAAATTTTATTGTACAAATCGGAGTTTCAAAGAAAAGAAAGTAATAACGTTTCATTTTTAAAAAAAATATTGGTATTTTAAGCTATTAAAATTTTGAATTTTATTCCAAACTTTTTTTTTCTCAATAATTGTGTTGAAAGGATAAACCAAGAAATACTTTTCTGCAACCTTCAAAATGATTATAAAAATAACAATTTTAAGCCCGGTCTAGAATGTAAACTAAATTTAAAATTCAGTTTTTTAAACTTTCAGTAAAAAAGTATTTAAATTTCATTTCTAAGAGTTTAGAAGCTCTTTATTTATTTATAGTAAAAATAATGTACATAATAGAGGCATAAATTTCTATTAAAAATAAGTTATTTCCTTAATTCTTATGAAATAAGCGCAAATTTAATAACCTATTAATTGGCAGTATTTTATTTGAATACGCTAGAATTACTATTCAAAATTCTCGTCCAGCTTAAATATATAATAAAGCCAAGAGTGCTTAATAATAATAAAAATCTTATTTCATCGTAAATTCTGCATTAAAAAAAGTTTCAAAATTTAAATGTTACAGGGACATTACTGTTTTTACCAGCGTTACAGTCCGCATAAATAAATAAGTATGTAAACTTCTCTGCTATAATTATTTTTTTATTTCATTACTATTAATTTCCTCATACTTAATTCACTTATAGGTATTTATTGTAGTAATTATTATCATAGTATAGATAGCATTAATTATGAATGTAATTATTATTAATACTTATTATATTATTACTATCATATAATTGCAGTTTTTTGTATCTATTACAGTATAATTTAATTATTTTTGATCCCTTAGAACGTAAGTACCAACACTTTATTTTTACTGAATAAAAGCTCGATGTCCATATTATTTTTTTTTTAAATTATATTATTGCTATAAATTTCATTATAAATTATTCATTTAGAAATATTTATTATAGTATTTATAACTGAAGTTATAGGTAGTTTTAGTTAATATAATTGTTGTCTATTATTACACAATATGGATAAGTAGAATTTTTTATTTTAGTATTATTTATTTATTTATTAGTACTTTTAGCGCAACTGCGATTATCAACGCTTTACTCTGAATGAATAAATAGTTAAATAAGATTTTTAAAGTTCCAAACGTAATCGATATTCCATATATGAATCGCTAAACAAATTGGTTTGTATCTGCTTTAATACTAAACATACCAATTATTATTACACTTATTTACACTTATTACACCTATTATCAACATATTCCTTCTAATTAATATTAATTCTGTAATTCTTATAATTATTCTTATAATTATAGGAATATATAAGAATTATAATTGTCACTTTTTCTTACACTAAAATTCCAATCTAAAATTTTAGGTACTTTCTTGAAATTTGAATTCGCAGTTATTCTGATTGAACTCACTACGCAACAGTCTGAGCAGAAATATGCAAATCATCGAATGCAATACGCTGAACAGACATGGCATCGTCATTTCTGATCCGATCACCTTATAAAGCAATAAACTGTTCTCCCGGTCAAATGACCGGTTGTGGTAGAAATAGGTATGCGACGAGTACTATTCGAAACAAACAAAATACCAAAAAATAAATAATTGTAGAATATTAACAATATATAATTGTTAGAAAAAGTCCAATGTGTAAAAACGATAAGATGATAAGCGCATTTTCGATGCAAAAGTTCTTGAGCGGTCATTAGACCGGTTATGGTGTATTTAGTGTTAAGCATTCAATTTGAAAGACAATTTGTACACTATTTAACTATGAAGAAGATACATATTTAAAAAATAGTTATCTAAAAGAAGTTTTTCTCACAAAAACAAACATTTCACATGTCTTCTTAGTTGGGTGCTTTTCCCTTCACTGCACTGACGCAGCAGTGAAGCTATATTTATAGAGCAGGAACTTACTGCCCCATCAATAGCGAGCACTTAATAGTGTAGAATAATTCTTTCACAGTTTTTTTAACAGTAGAACGAAATAAACAAAGCAATTATTTCTACAATCTAATAATTTGTCGTTAAATGTAACTTCTAAAAAAATTAGCTCTTAATTCACTTTTATTTCAATCACCAGGAAATCGTAAAATATTTATCGACGTAATATCATATTACAAAGTATGGGAACAGTTTCGCGGGGGTACGCGTCTTTATGCGAAATATGTTGCAACAAACGAAAATTTCAAGAATTTTTTATTTAAAAACAAAGTTATTAGCCATGAAAATTTACGATTGCGTATTAACAGTTAATAATGAGTGGTGTCAACAGCCAGTTGAGATTTTTAACTTTTGTGAAATTTTTTTTATGGTCAAAAATACATTCATTTTCTTATGAGTGGCACACAGCGCTGCGAACAATTTAGAAAGGGTACACAAAAGTCATAAAATCGGGAAACACTGCTAGAGTAATATTTCCAATCACTATTCATTAAAGTTATTTAAAAGCTGATAAAAATGAAATTTTAGTATAATATAAGGCTAAACTGAAAACATTTTTACTTCTAAAATTTTTTAAATCTTTTGCGAAATTTACGTGAAATACTTTTTTTTTTATCTTTGATGTTATTGACAATTTTTAATTTGCCATGACGTACAGAAAAGAGAAACTTACAGTAAAATATTTGATTCTAAAGCCGATAAAAAAAACTTTTGCTGGGGGTCGTTTTTATACTAAAATCAGTTAAAATGTTGATTCTAGAAATGTTTTAATTTTTTTCATGAATTTCAATTATTACAGTAAAGAAAAAAGGGGACTAAAAATAAGAAACAATTAATACAGTTTTGTAGAATTTTAATGAAGAACAGTTCGGCCTTGCTTCTAGTTTCTGCCTGATTGATAAAAAAAATGCAACTGTGCAATTTCAAGACGATTTTTTAAAATGTTTATTATGGAACCCTATTCCCAAGAACTCTTCAAGAACCCTATTCTCTTTTTCTCAAGAACACGATAATTTGAAGAAATCCTTTTTATCCACCAAGTGGATTCACGGATCAATGATGTTTGCAATTATCCCCTAAAAAATTGTTCTTTAAAATTATCAACTTATTGTTTAATAAAAGTGCATTTCTTGTTTATTAAAAAT